CCGGCTGACCTGCAAAGCAGTGCAAAAAGCTGATGACCAAACCTAAACCCTAAACCCTAAACCCTTAAACCTACAAATTTCCTTGAAGCGTCTGGACTCGGCCCAATGCTGCTCGCAAGCCGGCAGACCCTTCTACACGTGAGATACCTGATGGGGGCCCCAAGTCAGCCAGCTCGTGCTCCGAATATCTCGGAAGGTAGCTTGGGAGATTCATGCCAGCATTAGAGCAATAGAAGCTCGACCACTTTTTGGCTCAGGGCTTTAGATGGATCACATTGCAAACACTAATGACACAACAGAGTAGTCTCAGCAATTGTTCAGCCCTCTACTACCTCTACCTTGACCCCAATGTTGCTGGTGTTTGCTCTTCAGCATTTGGTGGGCACTGGCTGCGCTGGCACTTTGGGTGTTGCACTGAAGGCTTCTACCAGAAGATCCAGAAGGGTGAGCATGCAGGCACAGGGGATCCAACAGATGCCAGGAGGGTGGGCGTTTTGAGCTAGGAGTACAACGCACGAAGCGCAGGTCTAGGCAGGTCGAGCGGCGGTAAATTGCCGAAGTGTTTTGATTTGATCGCTCCATGCGATGCGGAGGCCAAGCGGCCTGGGTGGAGAGGGACTCCTTCTCAGGTCGCAGTCGACGAAACCCGGCTTTGGCCTAGTTGAATTGTTCCAGTGGTCTGCTGCTTGCAGAGCAGCTCAGGTGCACAGAGATCATATTGAACAAGTGTGCCAGTGCCCGGCAGTTCTTTGCAATGTGGGCTTGTCTGCTGCATGCCACCGCAGCTCTGCCATGCACAGGAACATTTGAAAAGGCAGCGCGCGTGCACCGTGGAGCACGGTAACTGATTGCACCCCCACTTGCCCTATTTGGACGGGGACCGGTTTCCGCTCACCTGCCCTGCTTGCCGCGCTTGTGCCCGGGTCCTCACTTGCGACACTCTTGAGCCCACTTGCCCCCCTCTTGACCAAGCCCCCATGTAGCAAGTGCAGGGCGAGTGGGGCACAAGCGGGGCAAGCGGGGCGCAGCAAGGTGCAAGCGCGGGGCAAGTGGGACAAGCAACGCGGGTTCAATTAGCTGGTCCGGAACACCAACTAGCGCTGGGTGGGCAAGTGGAGCGCTCTTAGCTACTGGTTCCCGCCCGCGTTCGCACTGCCACATCGTATTACTCAACGTGGAGCAGGAGAAGCTCACGGTGAAGGCAGGGCTTCTTCTGCCTTGCTTTGAGCAGTGCGATGTTGGGTGAAGACCTGATGGCGGCACATCTGCTTCCAGAATGGAAGCCGAGAAGCCCGGCCTGGAAGCGCTTTGGCAGAGTCAATTGGGTATACCATGGAAGAACGTCAAAAGGGCTGCGGAATGCTCAATAACAGGCGAGTCTTCAAAGCGCTAGAAAGATCAAAAAAAGGCAATAAAAAGAAAAGCAAAAAGAAAGAATGCCTTCAGAAGCTAGTCAAAAGCGCCATGACACGTCCAGAAAAGCTCATATAGTCAAAGCGTCAGAGCTCACATGTAACAGCATCTGCCAACATCATGTCAGTGCTCGCCGACCATGACCTCCAAGATTTGTTTCACCGAATAAGATTCTTGCCCATGACAGGTGAAGGAATGTTGGCTCTTGACTTCCTACTCCTGTAACCCTGATCCTTAGGTGATTCACGCCGTATAACTGAGATGTGATAGACTCCATACCGAAGATGCTGGTCAATCGTGACAACGGCGAACTCCGGCCTGCGCTGCTAGTAGAGGCACCCGCTGCCAATGATGGCAGCAACGGCAGCTCTTGCAGCCTTGCCAAGCACGTGATGCACAGGTGACTTATGAATGCGATCAACTTGAGCGACACCTTAAGATATGTAGCGAATACATCAGAAGCACAGTCTCGGGTCTGATCATTGGATTTCTATACAGGCGTTCATGGAAGACTGGCAATCCCGGAGCTGAGGCATCGGCACATCCCGCTTGGCTGGCTGCGCTGGCTGCAGCTGCAAGGGACGCTGCTGGAGGGAAGCGATCACTGTCCGCCAAGCTCGCTGAAGCAGAGCCAATGGGGCCCCATGGAACCCCGAGCTCCAAATCCCGCGCAAAACCAGTAGAAAAGCAGCAATGCGTGCCATGGGAAGCCCTACCTTCCGGGGTCTTCGTGTCTGCCCCAGGACTAGCCACAGAAGCAACCAATGGCTAAAAGGCCTGGGCGGTGTCTTCGCCTGAGCCTCAGCCTCTGCAACACGGGCAGCAATTTCGGCCTGCTGCACCTGCGCTGTGCTCTCAATCTTCTGTCGCTCTGTTTGATGGTACTCCTCCATCGCTCGCTTCGCCATGGCTGCCACGCACGCGCTCCGCTGTGTTCGGCCTTCTTCTGTAAGCCTGGTTCTCTCAGTGGCGCCAGTTTGCTTCAGCCGCTCAAGCTCCACCGCCGTAGAAGCCTCGAGTCGCTTCACCTCCACTACCTGCTGCAGGGTCTTCTCCACGACAGCAAGCCGCGAGCTTTCGTGAACCCCCACACGCCAGTGCTCCTCAAGCTCCCTGCCCACCTTCAGGCGCTCCAGGCCCTGGCCAGACAAAGTCTCCAGATTGCGTTGCGCATCTTCGCTGGGCCCAATGCCCGGACTGCCTGGACTCCCCTCCGAGTCAGGCGGAGTGTTCAGCATGGCTCACATCTCCAGAAACGGCCCATGTTCAAATGGTCGCAGGTCAGCAAAAGTTGTGATGTCAAGTGGTCTATTGGGGCTTGTCAAGGGCTGCCTAGAGCTTGGCAGCTCTCTGTTCTAGCCTTTGACAGTTCAGTACACACACACACACACGATGGCTAGCCTTGGTAGATATAGCCTGTTACAAACACGATTGCAATTCAGAATAGGGCCTCCAAAGCTCCAAGATTCCAAACGTCGCGACTTGGCTATAGCTTTAGTTCACCTTACTGCTAATGTCTTTCTACTCAGCATAGAGGTGACTGCAGCTAGAAAAGCGCCTGGAGCGCATCTCGATTTTACGGCATGTGTCATCAGCAAATGTAGGCTCGACAGCTTGGTCGGCTGAGCCAGAAAACACAGAGCAATGCAAACAAGGCACAGATGACGTCAGAAGAATACAGGTATGATGTTGGGGCTCCCTTCAAAAAGAACCGTGTCATATGCATGCAATAATCCCTGCTTCGAGATTTGTGCAAGTAAACTTAATAGCATAGAAGATCTGCATAATCCCATACAGATGCTCTTTATGCCAAGATGTCGAACAACATTTGCAGGCAGTTTGCTTTGAGGCTCCTGCCAAACAGCACCAAGAGTGGCTGCCATCAGGCCCAGGACTGGGCGCATGTTTCTGGGTTGCCGCTAGGGAGCTGAAAAAAAACTACCATAATAAGGGAACCATATTATTGACTATATACCCACATTATGGGAACTTAGCTCTATCATTTACTATTCCCATATTATGGTAACTTAGTTGAAGTTGCTGAACAGCAACCCAGGCTTAAGGAGCAGGATAATTGTCAGGCCCAAGGCGTAGGACTGTTGTGACCACTACTGGGGAGTCCCGCAAGGGTTTGGAGTATTCAACATACAGGGTGTAGGGCTTAGGGTTAAGGATTTGAAGCTTATGGTTTAGGGCTAGGATTGAGGCGCAAGGTTCGCAGCTTGGGGTGTATTTTCGAGGGTTGAGGGTTCAGGGCTGGGTTCGGGGAGCTCAGGGTCTAGAGTTCAGGTCTTTAGCTGTACCACGGACAAGACCTCATTCTCCAAGCATCCATCAACAGTATGACCATCGTTGCTGTGGTCAGCACGTCTAGAATTGGACCTCAGTAATCATGTACACTGCTAACATGTCCGGTTTCGATACATGTACTACTGTTGCTTTTTCCTAGGGTTGCATTGCTGGATACTACGACAGCCATTAATCCTGCTGCTACTGATGGTCCTCACGAAGCAATTGGAATTGCCGCCACTACTCCAACAAGATAATGTCACTTCTTGCTGCTGCTGAACAATTATTCTTATCCCGGCCTGCTTGCACAATAATCATCACTATAGTTAATCCTACACCCTACACCGTAACCCTAAACCCTAAACCCTAAACCCTAAATCCTAAACCCTAAGCCCTAAACCCTAAACCCCAACCCTAAACAGCGAGGTGGCAACCAGCTGAGAGTCAAGCCCACCCCAGCTCGGCCGATGCGGAGCTCTCGACGGCGCCAACATGGCCCACGGAAACTTGCAAAGCTCATGTGAGCTATAGTCTAAACTCCTTAAAGGGGGATAGGTCCGCGGTTATATAGGGGAGCATTCTAGGGATTATTTAGGGAGATACTAGGTGTTTGGACTATAGGTCATATGTTGGGGGTCAATATTTCCTACATAATTCACTGGACATGGGTCCCTTACTAGGGACTATAGTACGGACTATACTAAACTACAACAGGGACCCCTATGTCCACTGTTAAGGGTCCTCTCATAGGGCATTTTTTGCCAGTAGCTCATGTGAGCTGTAGTCTAAACTCCTTAAAGAGGGTTATATAGGGGAGCATTATAGCGGGTTGCTAAGGGGGAACCCCTAAACCCTAAACCCTAGGAGTTTAAACTATAGCTCATGTAGGAGCTTCTGTCAACTGGATGGCCCTGGACCCCAGGGATAGTAGAAGCTCGGAAGGGTCCTTAAGAGCTACAGATAGTCGCCACCGCTGTTGCTTGTCCTCATTACTACCATTCTTTCAGTGTTAATACCATTGCTACTACTTCATAACCTAGTCAGGGCTACGATTATTGCTGCTGCTGCTTCTTCAAATGATGTCTACAAGGAGGGGTATCGCGGCTTCACCACCTGTGGGCACGGCCAGGGCGTGATGCAAGGAGAGACCCGGAAATTCCAGTTTTGGGATGTGCGTGTGTCAATACCCTACATCGTGTTCAACGAAATGCGTTTGAAGGAACGTTCTGAGGTTGTGAGGAAGCAGGACTCATTGCGGGTCATGGCAGCTTGCGCAAGTGTCACAAGATTCGCACATCCTCTGTCATCTTCTCGCCGACTGATGACATGATGTGCCTGAGAGGCGGCTGCTTTGACCGCGGGAGTAAAGGTTGCAAGTGGATCATGGTAAATGAAGCTACCTCTCAGAATGACTCGCCCATACTTCAGGCCGAGCAACGCTAATGTAGACCCCATCCGTTTAAGGGCCTTAATATTACGATCCCTATCATAATCTCTATTAAGGGGGGTTATTATTCAGAGGTCTACATGAGCAAGCTTGCAAGGAAGCTGCTTGAGGTCTGCCATCTTGATGGAGTCCGGAGGGCTCTCTCGAATCTGCTTCGAGGTCAACTGGCAGGGCATGGAGATTCTTGCCATGACTGCCTGTGATTAGTAGCTGATGGTCCTGAATTACTGGTTGCTGTATATCATTCTCCACCAACAATGCTGGTGGGACAAGGTCTATGAAGCTATCTTTCTTCTGCTCCTGCCAATTCTCCAGAAACTCCAGGTCCTTTCGCTCCCTTTTTCTGCTTCTGAATGCTCCTGCCTAAGTTCTGTCGCTTCCAAATCAGAGTGCTACGTGCAAGATATGATAATTCAAAATCCAGTCTTACTTTCTGAGCGAACAGCACAAGATGCTCAAAACAATCGGCGACCCTTTCGAAATGATGGCCTTGTCGAAGAAGTACAGCAAACCGACCTGCTTCTATCCAGGAGAAATGCTATCGTCCAGACAAGTTCTGGTAGCTTCCTCAAATAGGGGTACCCCAATATAGACCCCAAAATACGATGATCCTTATTTGGGGGACCCCATGACGGTACCCCTAATTTTTGGAAACCCCCTTCCAACGAAGCAAACGAGCTGTTGAAGCGTGGCCCACCTTCATTCCCTCGAGTTCTTTGGCCACGTCACTAGACTTGGTGGCCTGCGAGGATAAATCGGAGGCAGCCAGATATGGAAAACAAGATGAGCCATACTCCCACCTCAACCGTTTCCATTCTTTTGACATAGCCCAGGAAGTCGGGAAACTGTACGAAGGCGGGGTCCTGTCATGCAGAGCCTCAAATGAGAGCTCCCCCTGTTGTGAACACCCCCATACAGAGAGACGATTATTCCTTTCGTATCTCTGCGCCACTGATCACTACATCACCTGTTATATGTGTTTATTCTCAAAATTATGGCCGTTTTGGGTATAGATCATATTACGGCACCTGATATTTAGGGGTACCAAACTGGGTCCTTCATTTTTGGAACTACCTATATATCCAATATTAAAGCCTTGATCCCTGTTCCTTACTGGTGCTTCAGGGAGAATGACGGAGTGGATCCCTAGAATAATCCCTCTATACTTTTAGGGTTTAGGGTTTAGGGTTCAGGGTCATGTATACCCCTAGAATGGTGCCTATATTCACTCCCCCACTCTCCCTTTAGCACCAGTAGGGTTTACCTAGTGTGCGGCATGCTTCTCGTCCTTCTTCTCGGCCTCCACCCGGAATTCGCGAAGCTGAGCCTTGCGCAGTAAGCGAACGCTTTTTTATCGAACGCTTTTAGTGTTCAGGGTTTAGGCTCTATTTGTCCTTTGCTACCCTACACCTTGAAACCCTAAATCAAACCCGAAACCCCCAAACCCGTGACAATACAGACCAAAAGCCTACCACCTCTACCCCACGCTTATAAATTCCCGGCTTCCCGTTTCATATCGCCTTTTCTTGTCTATTTGCTTGTCCATTGAGGATAATATCCAGAAACCGTACAAATTCCAGTATAGTCCCTATGTAACCCTAAATCTCCCTGTAAGATCCCTATGTGGGTCGTTCCCAAAAAAATGGGCCCTTTTTGCTATGAGTTATATTACCCCACCTAATATTTCGGGATAGCAAAATCGGACCCCAATTTTGGGAACTCCCCACTAAAGCCTAAACCCCATACCCTAAACCCTAGACCCTACACCCATATTCAGTTACCATACCCCATGTAGCTCCCCTTGATTTGATAGGCAGCCCTCAGTGATCTTGTTGTCCCCTGCCTCAGACGCCGCCAGGCCGAGACTTCGCATCACCTGGGCCGGCTTTCGGGTTTCGGTTCTGGGGTTCAGGGTTTAGGATTTGGGGTTATGTAGGGTATTATATAGGGTTACAGTATATAAGGGATTATATAGGGTTTAGGATTTGTGGTGTAGGGTTTAGGGTCTGGGGATTAGTGTGTCTCAGTGAGGGGGCGCGCTGGTGCTGGAAGCACCCATGCACCTTGACCTGCACGAGCCCACCCATCTCCACCCCTGCCCCAACCTTTACGGGTTTTGGGTTCTCTCGAACTCTGATCGCGCTCCTGTCTTCTTATTCGTTTTTTGCACTTGTCTAGACCAGGCGGGTGCAAGGTTTGGGCTGGGCCTGGCTCGAGGCTTCTTGTGCTTATTGAGATTGAGCCTTGCCTGGAGGCCTTCAAGTCTGGAACCAATTGGACCTGTCCAGACCAGGCGGGTACGAGGTTTGGGTCTGGGTCTGGCTCGAGGCCTTTAGCTTCTTCAGGGCGCAAGGCAAGCGGGGCGCGGGTGAGGCTCTGGATGGTTGGAGGCTCCTGGTCCCAAGATTTGCTGGCATAGAGGGCCTGAGCAAGGGGGGTCTGTGAGGCTCACCTGAAAAGTTGAAAAGGAAGCAGCTCAGGGCGACCTGACGGGTTACTCGCCGGCGACCTGCCAGGGACTGGGAGCTCCGTCGCCAGCCGGAGGGCTTTTGGCTCCGGAGCTACCTCCGGCTATGGTGCGTTCGCCATGCTCGAAGGCCCCGGGCTCACTCAGTTAAGGGTTTAGGGTGGAGGGTTTAGGGTCTGCGGTTTAGGTTCTAGGGTTTAGGGTTTGGGAAAGACACAAGGTATGTACTAGGTAAAAAGAGAAACCCAGCATCCTTGAGTTTTGGGTTCGCGCTTCTTTTTTGAGGGCCCTTTTCCTCCGTGGGGCTTAGGGTTTTGGATCTAAGGAGCTTAGGGTTCGGTGGTTCGGGTTGAGGGCTCGGGTTTATAAATATGTCCCCTAATCCTCTCTGTTTGGGCTTCCTGCAGGGATTATTCGATCATATGCGTGAGTGGGGTACATACTAGCAGAAAGGATTACTTGTGACGCTATTGACTGGCTTAATTGGGCTTATTGCAACCACTTTGTTACTAATATTCTTCAGGCCGGTGGTACTAGATTCTGCGCATACGAAAACAAAAATGGCCACCAACTCTTTGCTTCATGATTGCCACGGCGTTCCAAGGATCTTTGGAGTCACATGCCTAACCCTGACCACTGACCACTGTACCCTAAACCCTAAACCCTGAACTCCTAAATCTACAGCCTAAACCCTAAACCCTGAACCTCTAGACTCTAACTAAACCCTCAATATCCCTCAATCCTAATCCCCGGAAACCCTAGACTCTAAACCCCCAACCCTGAACCCCCTGCCCCAACACTCCTGCCCGCCAAGGTGCAGTTCCAATCTCCTTAATCTTGATTCCCGAGCCATCCTGGCTGAGGGCTTAGGATTTAGGGTTTGGGGTTCGGGGCCTGGCTAGGCTTTTGGCGATGGTGCTACTTGAAATAATCGAGAATCAAATGCAAGAGAAAATCGAAAATGACATGGAAACTGGGATGGTCTAGGGTTTTTTGGGATTATGATTAGGGTTTCCTACAGTTACAGGTACTTTTTGGGGGGGTCCCATAAGCAGGGTTCTAATATTTTAGGATCATTGGGATCCCCCTTTTATGGACACTACTTATTAGTCATAAGAGTAATTTAACAACTTCAACCCTCAAATGCCCATCAATAAAGCTAGGGTTTGGGGTTTTTAGGGTTTAGCGCCTTTAGGGTTTGGGGTTCTTAGGGTTTACGGTTTAGTGTTTTTAGGGTTTACGGTTTAGTGTTTTTAGGGTTTAGGATTTAATGTTTTTAGGGCTTAGGGTTTACAGACTGTTACCGAGCGGGAGCCCCTACCATAGAGGTTGGGGCTACCATATAGGCTTGGTTTAGGCGTAAATGCGATCTACGGCGGGATTTAGGGCTTAGGATGTTTAGAGTCCTTTGACAAAGGCTCGTTTGTGGGAGCTAAGAGTCATCAAGAAAGAAACATGGCCTTTGCAACAAGAAGCCTCATGAATAGTAGCAGCAGTACGCATACCCAGAGAAGCATCGATACTGGTTTTCTTTGAGTAGCACAGAGTGCTCTCTTGGGGCCCGCTTCAGTAAGCCATAATCTGAACCCTAAACCGATAAACCTTCGTCTGATCCTCCCAGCCTGGTCGAATAGCTTGAAAACTTCCTCTATCTCTTCGTCCGGCACAGCCTCATGTGTCGATGCGAGCTGTTGATCACACCGGGTACCCTCCAGCCGCTGGCTCTGTGAATCTTCATATAATCCTTTACACCTGAGATCTAACCCCTTCGTTATGTGAGCCCCTGTAAGAACCGCTACAAACACTTGCTCCAACAAAAGACATTGCCGAGCGCAGAGCCATGGAGCTTGCTGCCTGCATCCGTTCCAGCTGTTGTGGAAAGCAGAAGAAACACCAGCAGTAGTTGAAAACAAGGTTTGGGTGACACTTGTGCTAAATGTTTCCAAGGGGTTGTTTCTATTATGACTGATGCTACTGCTGCATACTGCTGCTAGTACCGATACTGGTGCTAGGGACTACTCACTGCTGGCTGATGCTGCTACCACCACTGCCACCGCCACCACCACCGCCGCTGCCACCGCTACTACGACCACCACCGGCACCACCATCACCATCAGCATCAGCACCAGCACCGGCACCAGCACCAGCACCAGTGCCACCACCACCACCACCACCCCCACCACCACCACCACCACCACCACCACCTCCTCCTCCTCCTCCTCCACCTCCACCTCCACCTCCACCTCCACCTCCACCTCCACCTCCACCTCCACCTCCTCCACCTACACCTCCACCTCCATCTCCACCTCCACCTCCGCCTCCGCCTCCACTACGACTAATCCTCAGTTCTTGTCTGGTATGTATAAACATCATAAGCCCCTTTTTCTTCTTGGACCTGACGCTCTAAAGCCTCAAGCCCTACAGCCCCCAAGCCGTAACTTTTAAGTCTAATTGCAATGGGTAATTACTCTCCTGGCCTGGCTCAAGATCGACGAAGAGGGGCCGTCTCTGCTTGAGGAGCCACAAAAGGGGCGCAACACAGATGCGAGCTTCTCAGCGCAAAACTCGGGACCTCCTGCATTATGCGTGTATATGTGTATATATATATATATTTATGCACAAACTATTTTGTTCCATATGCTAATATACTTCTACTATGTTCTACTATATTATTCTAGTATTTGCAGGCAAGCATATGACGAGACGTTACTACATGTTTATGGGGAATATCTCGGGATGTAGTTGACCTGTGACTGGAGTTGGATTGCAGTCAGCCATCACAGCCCTGCGTGATTCTCATTAGGAGAACTTGAAGGTACTTCCAAATTGCGACTCCTAAAGCCTGAACCCTCAAGCCTAAACCTTAATCCCTAAACCCTCATCCCTCCTGTGACCACTAGGATCCCTCTACCTGGCAGGGTCAGGGGCGTGAGACCAGGTGTCTCCAGACGAAGCCCTTTTCTCCAGCGCCATCCAGTTGGGCGGAACCATGAAACACCTCATTGAACAAGGGTACCATACATAATATAGTACTTCCCATTTCATTCCCATTATCCCAATATAACCACAATATAACCCCAATGCAAAAGGCTGTCAACGCCACTTGCCATTTGGCAAATATTGCCGCACTACATTCATTGAGATGCGGCGACCTGGCAGCTCATTCCTTCCCCTAAAAAGATTATACAGGAGTATGTAGGGGAATGGACAAAATGGCATGCTGCTGTGTTATGTGAGGTGTTGGGATGATAGATAACCTCGACCCCCCAATAGTCAATACCCCCTAACATCGCACCCTGATATATGGGGTGAATATTCGCTTATGGGGACTTAGTATGAGGTGGAGGTGATTAGTATTGGCACAGGTCGAAGCAAGAGCACTGTTACACATATCTCTTACAAGACAGAATCACGATCATGACGTGCTTAGTGACGGAATCGCAGGAAATGCCGCTATTCTTGCAACTAGACACTCGTGTACATTACCAGTGTCTGCTACACATCAACATCGGAATAATCTTGGGCCCAGGTGGTCTTGGGGCTCATATCAAAAAATTCAGGCTACGGCAGGCCTTATACAAAGAAAATTGCTCACTACAAAACTCTGAGAGCCTCGTACTTCTTAATGATAGCAGCAACCCCTAAATTTACACTCACACTCCTATGGAGTCCCCTTAAGCCTTCGAAGAGGAGCCCACGTAAGTAAAGTTCCTCAACCAACCCTACACCCTGAGCCTGCAACTCTTAACCCCAAACTGCACAGTCCAAAGCAGCCACATGAGCCCTTATCTAAACTCCTGGTATCCCCCTTGACAACCCTTATAGTCGTCCCCTATATATTCCCTTATATGATCCCCTTTAAGCAGTTTAGACGATAGCTCACATGAGTAGCGTTTTTTTGGTGGTTGAACTTAATAAGATTATATTCCTTATACAAAAAATACTATACCCCAAAAGGAGATGATCTTACTCTATAGTGGGTACCATAAAATCCCCAAATAAAATACTACCCAAATAATCCCTATTGACTACCCTATAATCCTGGTCTCCATTTCATTTTCCATTTTCTTTTCCATTTGATTCTCCATTATAGGGCCCTAAACCCTAAACCCCTAAACCCTAAACCCCTAAACCCTATGCATGGACGGCACCTCCAACGGGTTGGACCGCCTAACGGAGCTGAGGGCTCCCAACATGTCCTTGTTGATGTCGCTCTGAGCCTGGAGATTCAGGTTTAGGGTTTAGGGTTTAGGGTTTAGGGATTTAGGGTTTAGGGTTTAGGGTTTAGGGTTTAGGGTTTAGGCTATGAGCCTGAAGATTCAGCAAGGTTCACGTTTACCATTCCCTTTTGGAGGGATGTAGGGCCATGTAGGGTGTACAGGGGTGGATAGGGCATGTAGGGTGAAACTGGAGAATGCAGGGGGGTAATAAGGTACAAAAATAGGGCCATTAGTGGTTTTGCATTTGAGAGCGTATAAGACGGACCCCGAGTTTTGGGAAGCATGACTTACGCCTCAGGAACTGCGAAGTGGTTAAGCTGCTGTGCGGGAATGGGGGCATATGGGTGGTTCTCACAATTATGATCCCTTTTTGGGTACCCTAAATTCAGGTGCCATATATTATAATAGGGATCCAAAAAGGGACCATAATTTTGACAACCACCCATATGTTGGGTCGCATTCGGATTCACACCCCAACCCCTAAACTCTAAACCCTAAACCCTAAACCCTTAAACCCTTAAACCCTAAACCCTAAATGGCCTCTACAGGATACTCCATCCGATACCCGAAATGCTGCACAGCGTGCGCTTCTTTTGCATTGGTGCTTTCGGTCAAAAGAGTTGATCCAGCTAAGCATTGAGAATCATTTGTTTAAGGTTTTCGGGTATATCTACTATACTTTTCCGAAGAGCCCAATTCAGACTACTAAGATGATTGGCTACAGTACGAATTAGTCATGATATGTGTAGCACCATTATCTTATGTGATATATGTGATTTGTGATGGTTGGCATTACTGTAGCAAAGCCGTTACAAACGCTACACAGGAAGTCGTCGCCAATTGTAGAATATCACTTACACCGACTGCAGGAGCGTTCCTGTGCAGCTTGCAGCATTTCCGCCTTTGCCACCTGCTCCTGGCTTCTGACAGGTGGGATCACATGGCAACAGTCATGAGTTTGGTACTACTTGAGATAGAGCAATTAGACTAGAATAGAAAATAGAACTACGAGAAAGGGACAAGATTAGACGAGTGTTCAGTGCATGACAAAATATTTGGAACAAAGCATCAAACCTTCTCGGCCCTAGCACGCTTCCGGTAGCAGTGGCCCTGAACCCTTTGCTATCAATCCCGCACCTTGGGTCAAACTTGGAGGACTAAATGCGTTATGTAGAGATTGACATGCTTGAGCACAAAGAAAAGCTGAACCTCCACTTCTCGACTTGGGGTCACTATATAGTCCTATGGGGGAGCCCTGTGAGGGCTTTGAGTGAAAATTACCGCACAGGTAAGCAGGAGGATGCAGTCTTAGCCGAAGAGGAGCAGCTGGTAGCTAGTAGCCAGCAGCCCGGAATCCTTCCTAGTCGTGTTAACGAAGTGGCGCACTACTGTAGTAGTTGTAGTTGAAGTAGTCGTATTAGTAGTAGCAGTAGTAGTAGTAGTACTAGTAGTACTAGTAGTACTAGTAGTACTAGTAGCAGCAG